TGTCAAACCGCCGAAGAAAGAAAAAAAAGCTTTAAATTTAAGGGCGGAGGATTTCACTCGTTCACAAAATCATCGGTATAGTTTTTACTTAAATATGCTTCTAAAATTTATGTTTAAGCAACACAAGAAAACAAAAAGCAGAAAAAAATTGTATGCACCAATGGATGATGCTCGGGGGAAACTTAAGCTTGTATTTTTATTTATTCATTTGTTCTTGGTCTTTTTTTTTAACTTTCAAATAAAAAGAAAGAGAATAAAAAAAAACTGCAGTCAAAAATAAATAAATATTCTGAATTGAACGGAAAGTGACATTAATAAATGTATATGTAAATAATTCGAGACATAATTTGATTACAGTAAGACTGGTTTTACGCTTTTTTACTCCGTACACTTAAATTTGCCTGTATGCTTATAGTTCATTATTAAACTAAATTTTAATACCTATACACACAAACACAATTATATATGCGTGGGTAGCGTTAAACGTTCGTATATATATATATCAGTACCAATGTGCACGCATTCATATATATATATATATATATATATATATATATATATATATATTCAGACATGTATTGTTAAATATAACAGACAACGAATGTCTATTATGTGTTATCAGGAGCCGTTCCAAGCTTTGTATATTGACTTTAATTTTAGAAGAAAATAAAGACAAAAGCTGTCCAATGTTTGGATATTTCTTTGGGTTGTTCATTGATCTAAGCTTTTGGCTGACATGAGCGATTATCGGAGTGCTTATTAGAAAGCTTAGATCGACGAACAAAACAATAAAGAAATATCCAAACGTTGGACATTTAAAGCACTTTTACATACACGCACGATATATATATATATATATATATATATATATATATATATATATATATATCCTCGACCAAAAAAAAACATTTAAAAATTCAGATATTTGGTCAGATTTCAAGAAATCAGTCAGTTCGAGAAGTTAGCAGCCTCCCTTGTGAGGAGAGCAGCGTGTGTAGGAGGAGCTATCACTATAAAAAAAATCTGAATTCATATCTACGTACGTCTATAAATATATATTTTCCTAATGGCGATTTATAATTGTAAGTATCTTTGCACGCTCGTGTCCGTATTGCGTTGAGCATCAATGAAAAATTTTTATTACTGCAAATATATATATATATATATATATATATATATATATATATATATATATATATATGAAGAAATTTACTCTTAAGGTGTGCTATATTTATGGGATAAAGTTCTCAATATCAGAGATAGAGCGTTTATTTAAATATAAAGTAAACATTGAAGTCAACACTTAGAGGCAACAGGCTGTTTCATGCTAGACGCAATCGTCAGGCCACGAATCTAGTATTGCGCTTAAATTCATATATATATATATATATATATATATATATAAGCCATTAGGTAAAATACACACACACACACATACACACACACACACACACACACATATATATATATATATATATATATATATATATATATATATATATATATATATGAATTTAAGCGCGATATTAGATTGACTCCCACCCTTTTACTGTTGAAATAGTTAAATGCAGCCACAGGTTCAACTCCAACAGTTTCTTTTCTCGAACTTCCCGGCTGTGAAACTACTTTCTGTTTACTTGCTTCCTTGAAAACTACAATCTTCAAAATGTTAAATACAAAGTCAATCACAATTTTCTATCTTCTTCAATCCCGTTCATCTTTTTTCCTTTCCTCAATTCCCTCTCTTACCAGTCTTTTCTCTCACCTTCACTCTCTATAACCACCTACTAGTGGCACTCTCGCCTTGCTTAGGGTGAAATGATTTTATATATATATATATATATATATATATATATATATATATATATATATATATATATATATATATATATATATATATATATATATATATATATATATATATATATATATATATATATATATATACTAGATTAAAATCGTCCTATCAGACTTTCAGCTTGTTCTTTTCTAATGTCATTCTCAATTTTTCCCGCATTTTGTTTTTGCTTTTGTTCTTGATATTTTTAAATTCATTCTTACTGTTTAGAGTCCAAGGCGGGTCTCAGAGCTCACAGCTCAACTGCAACTAATTTCTCTCTGACTCAACTTCCAACTCCAACTGCCGTCCACTCGCTGCGACTCTGCTTATATGGACGCCGACCAAAACTTTTCATTATTGCCATGGGCAGACGTGTATCTTTTATTCGCTCCGTCGTAACATAAATCAAATTAAATCCGACAGATCCGATATCTTACTTTCTTCGCTAATGAAAATAAAATCTTTACCACTTCTCTTTGTTAGAAAAAATAACATCGGTCAGTGTCTTTTCGGGATAGCTTCTTATCACCTTAATTAATTCTCGCCTTTTTTTTCACGCAACCCTAAATAGTGTCACACTATCTGCCAGTCTCATTCTCTTCGTGTTTGCCAGCCTCCCTCCCTGTCTATCTCATTCTGTTCGTGTCTGTCTCATTCTCT